TGTATCGGGGGTTAGGTGCACTTTAAAAATTTCAAACAATCTTACCTTGTACAATTCCAGAAAACAGAGGTCGAATGTTGTCAAATGTATGCATGCTGAGACTCTGGAACAATTCGTAGTCCAACACAGTAGCATTTATAGACTGATCGTAGATTACCTTACGCATCGCCTTCACTGATTCTCTCATTACCCGAAAAAAATGAGGACGAGATACACAATCCAAGACAATTATATTGACGTTCAATTTCTTTTGTTCGTCAACAGTTTTGTTTCTTTTAATTTTTGGCGGGAAAATAAGCGCTTGTAATATTGGGCCGCATTTGATGAACGAGAAAGTATGATTTTGACTCATTTTTCTTTGCACGAATTCGTTAACTTTGGATGCGTCGAAGGGTGTAATCCGTTGCCATTTTATAATAATTCCGATATTTTCATCAATGGCGGCTATACTGACTTCCTTTCCCTTACATATGGATGCATCACATCTTAGTTTGTAGCCTTTACTTTCGACTCTGACGAACGAACAAATGTCTGGGTAATGATCTTGCTGGCATTTTCTGGATCCAAGGTTTTCGCCTGGGCTTCCAAAATAGCTTGCTGCATTCTCGCAGTCCCTCTTGCTCGAGCTGGCAATGAGAAGTAAATATATCAGATATTGCTTTAAGATTTTTCACTGCGGGTATTTGGACCTAACTGGACGTAACTGATAAAATTGGCCGAGTCCTCACTGCATTGTATTGTTGATGCCAATACAATGCTAGATATAACTGTGCTCAAGGTCTYGAATATACGCTTTTTTCCTATCCGGAACGACTACAAGACGGTAAATAACTTATTTATTCTTTTCCTGTATTTTCTTTACTTGTTTTTGTAATCGTTTTGTTTTGTTGTTTAGCGGCAAAGGATACCGGACCGCGAGCGCGGGCAGATGCTGACAAAATACCGCCCGCTCAAACAGCCAATCAGAACACACGATGTTTTAGGATACCGGACAGGAAAACAATAAAACATATATATTGATCTCTAAGCAATAATCTTTTCATTAGTTATTTTTTGCATTAGATAGATACGATATGTTTACGACTATTTCAATGAAAAGGTTGTAGGAGCTAAAGGAGATCATTTATTATAGGTGATCGAAGACCGAAAGGAATTATGGACGTACACTTAAACACGACCAATCGAGGTGTTTGGAATGGCCTCGTTGAAGATGAACAACACTATTTTAAGAATTAACCATCCGTTTTGTTAATTCCAGACCACGTGTCACTATATTGAAAATATATAAAAAATTGAAAATTCTTTGTTTGAGTTCATCCATATTTATGTATATTCTCATGTGCAACCTTTAAACAAAGAAATATTACTCTAGGGAATGACATATGGTAATGAGAATAAGATTCTTTGTTTGAGTTGTATCCATATTCATGTGTCTTCTCATGTGTTACCGTTAAACAAAGAAATGATACTCTAGGGAATGACATATGGTCATGAGAATAAGATTCTCCTGAGTTGTATCCATAGTCATGTGTCTTTTCATGTGCAACCGTTAAACAAAGAAATGATGCTCTAGGGAATGACACGTGGTCTGAAATGGAAAACATTGGATTAGATCTAATGGATCAAGTTGGCATTTCAGTGTATTGTTGGACAGTCACTATATTAGTGGACGATATAGCTGTCATGTCACCCGTAACAATGACCTCTAATACCGCCTATCTCCTTTAGCTCAGATGTTTCTTTGAAAGTTGTATATTACTTACATATGTGTTTTACAGCTCACATTGACTTCGTTATTATTTCCTTTAATATTCTTTAACGGGGCTTTTCGCAGTCGAGTGTAGGGACAAGGTAGTAGACTTGGATATGTCCCATTAGGATTGTTATGCAAGAAATCGTCAGTTAA